GAGACACCAAATATCAGCAATACTCAGACTCTTCTGAGTCTTGCATCATGTTTGATGCAAGACTCAGAACTATTTTTAGTTATTTCTTTAAAAAATAATCCAGAATACCCTTGAATTCTAGAGTAAAGACACGAATCTGAGAAGAATAGTAATCCAAACACAGGAATTCGTCCTTTTTGTCTTTTTTGTTCCTTCTTCTCTATGTGCTAATGAGTGTTTCTGTTGGTAAATCGTTGAAACTTAGGCTTGTAAATATCCAAAATGCAAATGTTGGTGTGAACAAAGCAGATCTGAGACCTGTCGACATCCATGTGTGTTGTTTCTCATGAGTACAGATGCCAGGGCTGCATCTCCATCAGCGGATGTTGTCATGTCAGCCAGTGTTTGTGTTGGTGTGGAGACAGCGCAGCTGTTATCTGGATGGTTAGACATCGTCACGTCCGTTGATCCACTGCTCTGACATGCGCACAGCTGTCCCAAGAAAAAGCTTTGCTCATGTGCAACACACACACATACACACTGGGCTGTCTAAACAAATAGTTTTCTAATGTGAGGGGGACGTGTCCCCTTCACACGTAGTTATTGCGACCACCATGCAGTGTAATCTTTCTTCTGAAGAGACTGATGAATTTATTTGAATGCTTTTAGAACATCTTTACTGGAGGCATTATAAATGTGAAGGATGCTGAATAAAGAAGTCAAGTCAAACTCATTTGTGTAGCACTTGTCAGTAACAAGGCAGTTCAAAGTGCGCTACAGTATTAAAAACATCATACAGTCACCAGTTGGGAAACGAGCAATAAACTTTACAATTCATCAAATGCCATCATCAAGCAAATACACATCAAATATATTGATCAATGCTCCAGTTATTGTTGATCAAAAGCAGCTTTAAATAGGTGTGTTTTTATTCTTCACTTAAAGGAACTCATTGTTTCAGCTGGTTTACAGTTTTCTGGAAGTTTATTCCAGATTAATGGAACATAGACGCTGAATGCTGCTTCTCAATGTTTGGTTCTGGTTCTGTGTATGCAGAGCAGAACCAGAAGACCTGAGAGGTCTGGAAGGTTGATACAACAACATGTTTTAAAGTAGTTTGGTGCCAAGTCATTCATTGATTTATAAGCTAACAGGAGTATAACAGAGCTACAGTGAAAGGACTGGGGTGATGAGTTTTTCTATCAGTACTGTTTACATCATCTGCCTCATTTCTTCTCTTCCATTAAACAGTTAGGTTAAAATAATAATAATAATAATAATAATAATAATAAATAAAACCACTAATATGGGCGCTATTCAATTCATCATGCCCGACTGCGGTCGTTACGTGAGAGGCGCTGTTACATCCTGGTCAGATCTCACCAATAATTATGTGCATGATGGATGCAGAGCTTAGAACCTTTGCCATTTTTCAACTTTAAAGCTCTTCTGTTAATTAATACTTTGACTAATTAATTTCTTCATTACCATGAGATGCTCTGAATCTATTCTATCTCCTTTCTTACGGCACCCTATTCAATCCAATACAAAGACCCCAACCGGCTACTTATACAAATAGATAAATGCCACACCAACTTTGTTTACTGTTAATCATTTAAAACTGCATCAGTTTTAAATGCAGTGTGACTTTTCATCAAGCCCAGACTGTGCCTCCAGCAGCTGAAGTGAATGCCAAGTCGATCGCCCCGTTTATCGATGCGAGCCGCTGACGACTCTGTTAATCCAGATTTATTATTTGATGACATGAATTTGAATAATGAGGGAACGCTGACAGATTCAGACTGACAGGATGTTCGGCACTCAAATGCCACAACAAATTGCTTCTGGAGGTAAAATGTTCCTGGAAGCTATAAGACTGCTGTTGATTAGAGAGCTGCTGCCTCACGACTTCGGGAATCACTTTGCTTTGTTTATTAACACGGAGCAAATAAAAAAATATGTCCACTAGATCATAAAAGCGAACATGTGGATTATGTAAATTGAATCGGACCTCACCTTGACATTGGAGGTTAAAAAGAAAACTAAACATCCGACTGTTGAGCTACTGAAGGAGAGATGGCTAAGTTGTTTGTTCCGAAACATAATGTCTGCAGGGCCAGAGTGGCTGGATAAAACGACTCTCTGTTTCAGCTGCATGCTGAGCACAAAGCTGCAGGATTATATAAATATGATACAGCACTATGAATCTTTTTGTGACCTTGACGGAGCTACAAAAGCCTTTTGATGTGCAGCATCTATAAAAGTTCGAGACATTCTGTGTTTATATGCATGTCTTATCTATTTCATTTAAATGCGTGCAAATGTGCATATATTTGCAAAATCTCAAGGTGGTTGGTTTTGTCAGAGGTCAGAGTTCTTGCTTCAAAACAGACTTCAAACTAGAGGCCAAAAAATTGAGAGAGGTACCGTATACGTCCTTTTAGATTTCACTTACAAGTTTACACAAGTGTTTTATATGTTGGGTTTTAGCTTTACAACCCAAAGGAAAGTCAAAAGAGGCTTCAGCAAACAATAGCTTTCACTAATGATTTGTCATGAGCGTGTCCCACTTACTCTCACATGCCTGGAAATTCTTGAGTTGAGGTTTGACCTTCTGTCCCCGCAGTGAACTTGTTTAGCTCCTACGGCCCTCGTCTTCTTCAGTAAACACTCTGCCTAACGTTTCAGTAAACGAAGGAACATGAACTCTTCTTTAGACTTTATGTCCAAGTTAGTGCTGTCAGTTGATTAAAAAGTTTAATCAGATTAATCACTCTCTAGCACTGTGATTAATCGATTACCATAAATATGCAAGTTTTTTAAAAAATGTTTAAGAAAACATTTTATTGTCTCAAACCAAATTGTCTGACAGCAACAATGGAATGGTTTAGACCAAAGAGAGAATGCCTAGTTAAAGTCTAGACAAAGTGTCTTCAAATCCAGGCCTCAAAGGCTGGAGAGCGGCAACTTTTCAAGCAGGGTGCTCTGCGGTGAGATATGGAGTATTTCTTGTGTCTGGGTGAAGTTTGTGTGAGCTGCGATTGGTGGCTGTAGGAAAGTGTGCAGAGTTTGGCGATGGTTGGAAAGTAGGTGAGGTTAGTGACCAAATATGTCTTACACAAACTCATCACACATCCAGGAACCTTCCACTTAGTGACTGCAGAGACCTTCTTCGTAAACTTTAAGGTGTCTGTGCTTCAACACAACTGAGTCAAATAATGGGGCCATTAGCATGATTCTGGAGAACTTGACTGCACCGAGAAAATCAACCAGCCATTTGATTTAGGCGTATTGAACCAGGCAAACATCTGGACATTGCTGGATTTGAGGAGCACAAAAAAAATTTTGATACAAAAAAATTTAATAAAACATAGGGAAGGCTGTGGCAGTTACTTAATAGAAATGGTGAAAGGAAATGCTGCCAGTTAATGAGTCTGTATGTCCTGGTACACATTTATAAAAAAAGTGAGTTGAGTTTGGTTGGGGTAGGATGTGAAAATGATTGGTTTGAAAGCTAACGTTAAATGGTTTTATTGTGTGACTGCTGAGACTCGGTGTCACAACCTGAACTTTACACAGTTCTTGAACTGATAAGGAAGGACAGGTTATGGAAACAGAAGTTTGTAGGTTTGAATGACCTGGGACTCAACTCTCTGTTATTATGTTATTCTTCCGTCTGCCTGACAACAGGTATAAAAATGCAACAGTTGCTTAAACTTGGCACAGTAGATCTCTCCCTATATTTCTGCCAGTGCTAATGCTAATGATCAAAAAATAGAAATACTAATACCTCTGTCAGTTTGGAAGATGTTAAAAGCTTCTCCAGATGACTTTAGATTAATGAAGGACTGACAGGCTTAAGTTTAATGGTAAGGATGAGAATAGACTTGGGGTGTCTTCACAACATGGGAGACCAAAATGAAAAGATTTGTTACATTTTCAGCTGGGCTGGTTGGCTTTCACACTCCTGTCAGTGTGACAACAATCCAAGACCTTTGAAAGACCCGTTTACCCTTTCACCCCTGAAGAAGACATGAACCCAACTTTCCCCTTTGCTAAATGTAAACAAAATGGAGAAGCATCAGATCTTAGCGGTTGTAGGATTTCTTTTTTTGCTATTGATAAAAGACCACGACTCGTTTCTCCCCAAAGCGTTTTATACTCGCATTTGTTTTTGTTGTGTTTACCCAGAATACCCTGCGGTATAGCCTGCTTCCTGCTTTTGGAAGGGACTCTGATTCACATGCATTCAAACAACGCCAGAATTCACTTCAACCAAACCGAAACCTGGGTTTTTAGGCGGACCAGAGTTTGAGTGCGCATTCAGTCTATGGGAACTAAAGTGGGACAATACAGGTCCTTCTCAAAAAATTAGCATATTGTGATAAAGTTCATTATTTTCCATAATGTAATGATAAAAATTAAACTGTCATATATTTTAGATTCATTGCACACCAACTGGAATATTTCATGTATTTTATTGTTTTAATACTGATGATTTTGGCATACAGCTCATGAAAACCCAAAATTTCTATCTCAAAAAATTAGCATATCATAAAAAGGTTCTCTGAACGAGCAATTAACCTAATCATCTGTATCAACAAAATAACTCTAAACACCTGCAAATGATTCCTGAGGCTTTTAAAAACTCCCAGCCTGGTTCATTACTCAAAACCACAGTCATGGGTAAAACTGCCGACCTGACTGCTGTCCAAAAGGCCATCATTGACACCCTCAAGCAAGAGGATAAGACACAGAAAGAAATGTCTGAACGAATAGGCTGTTCCCAGAGTGCTGTATCAAGGCACCTCAGTGGGAAGTCTGTGGGAAGGAAAAAGTGTGGCAGAAAATGCTGCACAATGAGAAGAGGTGACCGGACCCTGAGGAAGATTGTGGAGAAGGGCTGATTCCAGACCTTGGGGGACATGCGGAAGCAGTGGACTGAGTCTGGAGTAGAAACATCCAGAGCCACTGTGCACAGGTGTGTGCAGGAAATGGGCTACAGGTCCCTTATTACCCAGGTCAAGTCACTTTTGAACCAGAAACAGCGGCAGAAGCGCCTGACCTGGGTTATAGAAAAGCAGCACTGGACTGTTGCTCAGTGGTCCAAAGTACTTTTTTCGGATGGAAGCAAATTTTGCATATCATTCAGAAATCAAGGTACCAGAGTCTGGAGGAAGACTGGGGAGAAGGAAATGCCAAAATGCCAGAAGTCCAGTGTCAAGTCCCCACAGTCAGTGATGGTCTGGGAGCCATGTCAGCTGCTGGTGTTGGTCCACTGTGTTTTATCAGGGGCAGGTCAATGCAGCAGCTATCAGGAGATTTTGGAGCACTTCATGCTTCCATCTGCTGAAAAGCTTTATGGAGATGAAGATTTCATTTTTCAGCATGACCTGCTCACAGTGCCAAAACCACTGGTATTACTGACCATGGTGTTACTGTGCTCAATTGGCCTGCCAACTCTCCTGACCTGAACCCCATAGAGAATCTGTGGTATATTGTGAAGAGAAAATTGAGAGACCCAACACTCTGGATGAGCTTAAGGCCGCTATCGAAGCATCCTGGGCCTCCATAACACCTCAGCAGTGCCACAGGCTGATTGCCTCCATGCTACGCCGCATTGAAGCAGTCATTTCTGCAAAAGGATTCCCGACCAAGTATTGAGTGCATAGCTGAACATAATTATTTGAAGATTGACTTTTTTTGTATTAAAACACTTTTCTTGTATTGGTTGGATGGAATATGTAAATTTTTTGAGATTCCTATCTCAAAATATTTTGGCTTTTCATGAGTTGTATGCCAAACTCATCAGTATTAAAACAATAAAAGACCTGAAATATTTCAGTTGGTGTGCAATGAATCTAAAATATATGACAGTTTATTTTTTTATCATTACATTATGGAAAATAATGAACTTTATCACAATATGCTAATTTGTTTTAGAAGGACCTGTACTACATTTAGAATGAGTTGATTAGAATAAGGATAACCCATCATTTGTGATACTTAACAGCTGTATCTTATATTTCACCTGTTGACTGTTTGTCAAATCTTTCTTAGTTTGGCTATGTCCCCATTATTAACCCTTTAAATTAAGCTTGTGTGAGGAAAACATGTGAAATGTAAATTCCTTTCAGTGACTTCTTTATAAGAGTAATTCTTCAAATTTGTGTTTCAGGTAAGAATGAATATGTTTCTGGTTCCGTTTTCTTCTTTATCCCCCAACACGGTGCCTGGCAGATGTATGGAGATCTCAAAGAGCTTGTAAAAATTCCTGACAAGCCGATGAAACGACTGTGAGCTGCATACTCTCATAACTTTGCTCTCTTTGAAAGAATATTCTTTGAAATAAACAAACTAATAAAGCCTCAATGGACAAAAACAGCAATTCAACAAGGTCCCAGCTCTGTTGTTCATTTTTACTTCATTCAACTTTGAGTTTCTGTGCAGAGCAGGTCAGCGTATCAGAGTCTTTATGCCAGCATAACCAGCCCAGTGCCATTCATGTTTTAAATTAAACAAGATTTGAAGTGACTTGTTTCCTTCACTGCACTCGATGTAAGGATTCCCCCACCTGTAACCTCAAATGACACACGGGAAGATAAATGTTAACTTGTAAAGTTGATTGTGGAGGATAACCGAAGAGATGAACTAATGCTGTTAGCGACTCATATTTGCATTGAAAATAAATATATTGTAAATATACGTTTCATTATAGAGAATAGTAAATAGAATGCACATGGATTTTTTTTTTTTTGCGCCTAAGTGGCTTGGTTGCAGAGGTTCTGTAAAATGTTTATCCTATATTAAAATTCACGAGCAGCCAATATCTTGATATTGGCATATCTCATTAGTAGTCATAGGTCAGATAGCTTTACCTATGAATTTGCTTAGAAAAAATTGGGCACATATATGAAAAAATAAAAGTATGGAAAGCCATTTGTGTCTAAACTTTATTCTTTGTACTACCTTCTGTTTTAAAATGATTAGATTTTTTTTTCAAAGTTGCTTCAAGCAATGTGGTTTTACAATAATTTTATACAAAGTATCAACATAGTTGTTATAATGACAGCCTTGTTTTTTTTCATCTACTAAATTTTTTCTGTGTGACAGGAAAAACACAGATGAATTTATGTTTTCATGGAAAGATGTTGCAGCACCTATATAACCTGCAGAGGTTAAATTAATTCAAATTACTTCATTTATATAGCACCAATTCTCAACAAATATTGTCTCCATGTACTTTACAAAAACATAATTTCAGTTCAATCATGCATACATTCTGACTGATCCCAGTTATCAGACAATACAGACACGTTTCAATCCTTTTTTAATGAATTAAACTTGTCTGAACTCTTCATACGAACTACTTCACAGTCCAGTGCTCCTAAGTTGTAAACAGCATAACGAGGAGCATTGTTGTCAAAGCAAACGCCACAAAAGAGCAGGAGCTTCTTCTTAAAGGAACAGCGGCCAATTTCAAAGCATCAGACCTAGAAGAATTACCGAAACACGACTTATGTTTCACACATACAGCATTTTTATATAAACTGAAGGTAATGTAGATACTTGGATTTGCTGTAATATGTCACTATGTGCCTGGAAAATACACAACACTGGGTCTTTAAGGGTCAACTGACCATTCCCAAAAGAATGGTAAATGCTCTGAGTTTATCTAAGTGGTCTAATTATTAGCTAAATTAACAGGAAATAATTTTCATCAATGTAGAACTTATAGAGCGTCTGCATAGCGTGTGATTGAGTGACGATTTCCCCAACATTTGAGCATAGGACTGGGTAATATTGTGGAAATGTCTTATGATTTATTTTTGTAACTGTAAAATCAATATTAGTTTTATCAGGATTTTCCATCTTCTTTTGATAATGTTCATCCATCCATCCAGAAAGATCCACCATAAACTTACGTTTGACATTAAAACAAATGCCTGAAGCTTTTTTGTTTTTTTTTTTCAGGTAAAAAAAAAATCAATTTAGTTAAAATGGGTATTTGATTTATATATACAGTCATTTTTATGTACCTAAGCTTGCGAGCCTCGCACATGATGTTTTAATATCCGCCTTGTAACAGTCGGGTTATCTGACTCATCGTGCTTGACATTTTAAAGATAATCCCCGAGAAACCTCGTTTCGGTGCGTCACGGGAACTTCAGCCGACTGAACGGATGGAAAACGTCTCGCTCGCATTGTGGAAATTTGTCAGCTGCTACAAATATCTGAGATGATGGGATAAACAGAAATTTGCTAATATTGTACCAGAGCGACGGGAGGTCAGTCGCCGCCGTTTTCTCATCATTTGACAATCACAGCTTCTATTCTTCTTACTAAGTCGAGACACTAACTCAGTGCTAAGTGACAGGCTGAGCGATGCGGCTCGGTCTCCGTCCTCCTTTGGGGATCTCAGTGGCAAGCAGATCTCACTCTGTTCTTCACTGTTGTTGTTTATATCAGATTGTCCCTACTTCTCGCGATTCCAGCTGCAGGATATGGAGAAGTCGGTTTTGCCTTTCCTGTTATTTGTGGATTTTTATTGCAGCTCGCACTAATTTCTGAGTAATATTACTTTTAGTGCTGCAATTCTAAGCTTCTTAGATGAACTGACATCGCGTTTTCTTCCTAGATGATTCAGAATCGACTCCGTGACTCGCATTACTTCAGCGCTTCTTTTGCATTCCGGTCCTGGCCTTCCTGTAGCGCTTTGTTTGGATCAAATACGTTCTTCTGTTTGGTCCTTCGTGTGCTTGTCTGTGTTTACTCGAATACGAAAGTTTGTGCGGCTTCAAAAATTTACATTCAGGTCGATATCGGGAGCATCGTATTGGGAAGGAGGAGAGGGAAGTCAGAACGGATAGTGTGAGACGACCTGTGAGCGGCCCCGGTGTGATCCAGATGGACAGGCTGTCTGGGCCGCTGTCAGGGTCTCTCTGAGGAGGAACCGTGTGAGACTGGAAAGATGTCTGGAAGGTAGACTGGTGTCTTCCTGCGTGACTCATTGTGACTTAAACCGTCCTCCATGCCAACAGCGACAAGAAGAGAACAGCTTCCATGCGGACCACGCAATCTGCTGATTTCAGTCATCTATTTTGGCACTTCATTTACTCTGACAGTTCAACAACCCCACTGGACAATGTCTCACTACTGTAGTGCAACTGTCTACAGGAGTGTAAGTATCCACTGTCTTAAAGTATAGTTAATGTTATTTATGTTTTATGTGAATTACTAAAGTAGCCCAAACTGTGAAGTGAAAAGTAAATGATAGTTAAGCATGTTTTTGCGACAAAAACATCTGCAAACTGTGGTGTGTTACTTGTAAGCAGCTTGTTAAGTCAATAATAAACCGTCATTCATTGCAATTACAGCTGTATGTTTTTTTTAAAGGGGTGCTGTTATTTATTTTCCAGGCACATAGTCATTTTATATCAAAGGTGACTTTTTGTCATCTGTTATAAAAATACTGTACATATCAAACATAACTTCAAAGAAATTTGACTTTGTAATTTGACGCCTTGAAATCAGGCCTCTGTCTCTTTAAGAAGCTCCTGCTCTTTCCCACACTCCACCTTTAGCGCATCATTGCTTGGCGTCAGCTCAGGAGACTTGCGGTTCCTTGAGGTGTTTGCTAATTGCTGCTACCGTTAGTCTGGTGGAGCTTGGTGGGGAAAAGCTGGGGGAGGGTTGCTCTTTGTGGAGCTTTGTGGAAATAAGTGGAAATTTGTAAAAGCAAGCGTTTAGGTTGCCATGTGAGATTAAAATATTTCTCAAACATGCATGAAAGAATCAAATAAACACTCTAAGCATGTTTTTGATGAGGGAAAAAGTAGATTTTACATAATACCCCACCTTCATAAATGATAAAAAATTCTCAAAAATGTAAAAAACACAAGTAAATATAAAAACCTCATATGTTTACTATAAAAGGCTTTATTGTAGCAGGGATCATTTAGTCCTGAGATTTACCTGCAACTTCACCATCCAGTAATTTCTGATATATATCGTTTTCTTTATCGGTGTTTAAAGTCGCTGTGTACGCTGTCACTTAATACCAATTTGATTAAAAGCATTCAGCATAAACATTAAAATCCCATTACCAGCATCAAACAAGCAGAGGAAATACAAATCCATTACAGAGTAAGAGGCCCTCTTTGTTCCCCTTCACTTTTCAACAAATATTTAAACTTTTCAAACTGCTAATGGTAGCCTTTCATTGTTAAATATGTAAA